TCTTACGGCTGCGTTGGAGCCATCTTGGGGCCAACTTCGTCTACCTTGGGGCCCATAATGATGATACAACTTCGGCATTGCCAAAAGCCATCCAAAAATCCGCCCACACCGCTTGTCGGTGCAGGGCGTGCTATTGGGGCTCTTGAGCTCTGCCGCCTATGCAAATAGCTCTGCTAGGGGGTGCGAACTGGTTCAGAAGGCTATGTTCTGCCGGTGGTGGCTGTGATGGCTCAGCTGCGGCTGGTTCCTCTGGTTGGGCACCTTGAACTTCACAAGTCAAACCTGGTCGAACTGATTCTTCATCTGGCTGCTGTTAACCAAGCCGTCCAGCTTCTGGCGAGCTAGGGTCAAGTTCTTCTGGCCGACCTCTCTTCTTGGCTTCATCCTCATTCTTTTTTGGCTGGCGCTGTTGCTGAAGTTGCGCTCCTCCTCCAGGTCGCATATCCAAGTAGGGGCTGTCCTCCTTGGCCCACGCCGACCGAGCAGCCTCGCGCTTTGTGCATCTTCGACCGAGCAGCCTCGCGCATTGTGCATCTTCGATTGAACAGGCATGTAGGATCAGGATCATCCACCATGTTGAAATGATCCTCTCCTTCGTCTTGCCAGCCATAGTTTCTAGCATTCTTCCCAATGACCCACTGCGAGGGACTGAATACGATGACAGTGCCTTGCCAGTTCTTCGTCTCCAGGCATTCCACTAGAGCCAACTGCCTCTCCAACTCTCCAACTGGTCCCGCGGTCCACCATGTATTGTGGTTGGCCTGCCCGCGCCATCCACATCCGCAAGCACCTTGGCGATGATGGTGTCTCCGTTCCTTTTTTTAGGACCTCGCCCGTGTGGAAACTGGTACCAAGGCACATGACACGCAAGATCTGGTATGGGTCTCCCATACTATCCTTCACTGTGACAATGTCCAGCCCAATACTCTCATTGAAGGTGTAAAAAGGTGTACGGACCCGGCACCATCACCACTGATTCACCACTTGTGCCCTCTTTTCCGTCGCACGCTGGGCACCTGAAGTGTCGAACTTCTCTGACCAGAGGTGCATCGTTGGCGTACCTCAGCATCCGGGTCGTTTGAGGTCTCGTAGCATGGCTGCACATGTGGTGTAGTCGGCGGACGCCAACTCTCAGCCTGAGTAAGCTTCCTCCATCCTTGCTTCCTCAGCTTCTCCGTCAGGATCTGCATCTTTATCGAGTAGATCCAGTTGCTCTTCATGTTGCACAACTTCTTCAACATCGTTCTGGTCCGGCGCAGTCTTCGCCAGGTCAACTGGTCCTTCCACTGCGTCCAGCATCATGGAAGCATACTGCTTTACCAGCTCCTCAGTATGGACATACCAGATCTGCGACTCCATCACGTTGAACTCCCACCAAGACTCGTTTGCAGAATTAGACTGTGTATCCTTCCAGCCTGGGTGCATCTGGATCCATAAGCGTTCTGGCCTTCCAGTGCGAGCCCATATGCATGTGCGCTTCCGGTGTGGTACTCCAGATTCCCGATCTCGAAGTCCAAAGAGGCACATGTCCACCTTGCAGCTTCGAAGTCCCCTTCTGAAGTCCATGGAATCTCCATCATAGTGATCCTCCCTTTTTCACGCTGACGCTTGACCAGTTTCTTCATCCAATTGAAGATCCAAATGCATATCCTCCTCTTCTCGTCGACCGTTCCCCGGTCAACTTGCATCCTCTGCGAGAGTGACCATGGTCCGCAGGGGAAGGCCATGGAGAGCAAGTAGGGGTCCTCCTCCTTCACCAAACATCCAGTCTTGATGTCCAGTGGTCGGCAGCACTCTTACCCTTGTGACTGAAACACCGCTGAGTGCCTTCTGTCCCTTTGGGAAAGGCGCCCGCTGCCGCCGAAGCGTCGACCACATGGCCTGGCCCTCATTCTCATGTTCTTCAACCTTCACTGCCAGCTTCCTTCTCTGGCCCCTCGTGAGGATCTTCAGGATCTTCCGATCTCCATCTTCCCAAGCCACCTTCTTGTTCTTCAGCTTCTCATCGATCGGCTTGACTTCGAACTGCGTCACTCTGGGTCCTCAAGCGTACCTTCATTGGTGACCCAGTTGTCCACATGAGTGATATCAGCCAAGGGTCCTCCGAAGTGCATCGTCGTGGTCCTCTCATCTTGAAGTCTTTGGAGACCCACGGGTAGCTCCATGAGGGCGTGCTCCGGGCCGCGGGTAGAAGAACTCATAGCGTGGTTGAACATGATGTCGGGCCGTCTTTGAACTCCCAGTAGTCTCCTTGAAGCTCTTCTTCCCCTACTTCTCCACACTCGACATCTTCGTCCGGCCCATTTTGCTCGTCCGGGTTCTCGAGTTCCGGGGTGATGTTGTCATAAGCTGCCCACTGATGCTCCTCAAGTTGCCGGTTGGTCTCCTCCTCATATACATTTTCACCTTCCATCCACTCTTCATCCTCGACTCTACCGCCTCTCCATGGGGTCATCAGCTCTCCATTCACCCCACGTCTCATGTTCATCCGGCTCCGGTCCTTCATGATCTTCCAGCGTAGGTCTTGAACTCTTCCATACTCTTCCTCATTCTTCGGAAGTGACCTTACTTGCTGGGCGCTCTTTTTCGGAACCTTCCTCGCTTGATAGGTGATCTTCGGCTTGGGCGCTGCCTTGGGCGATGCCGGTCGGGATCCGGAGTGGTTTCTCCTCCTGATCGGTGATGGGTTCCTGACAAATGGTGGACTCTCCCTCGACGCCATAAGCGCGACAGCGATGGTGGCCTTGTCATCCAGGAAGTCCCTCATTCCGATGGCCTTGAACACGGATGGCCTTGAACATGCACTTCAGGGTCTTGGAGTAGACCGTACTTGCCACCATATCAATCACCAGTCCCAGGTCCTGTTGCGCCTGTAAAGACAAAAACATCGGTGCTTCTGATCCCGAGATCTCCATCGTCGATACCAATTTTCCTCTGCCATTTGTGACTCCACTTCGGATGATATCCAGTCTTGGCCGTGTACTTCTCCAGCCACTTCGACCCATGGCAAGGTTGTATTGCAGCCTGAGTCTAGGTATACCGTGAGCCCTTCGCCTTCCCATGCACCGGACGGTTCTTCGTCGGATCCCGTCAAATCGATCACGGCATTTACTCCACCTGAACCTCCAGTCTCCTCATGCACCACCATGAAGCCCATCACTTCTCATGACGCAGTAGTCCTGGATCCTCCTCATGTTCGGACAGTATGTTGGGCCGTTTCCCGGGCATCAAGGGCAGACTGCACGTAGCTGGGGTCCTTGTCATAGATCAGAGATATAATGATATATTCAAAAGTGAAACCGCCGTACTTGCCGAAGGTCGGCAAATTGTTCCCAACGACTTTGTTGGAGGTGCTGAGCTTTGGGGGTTGGTCTGATGGTGTCTGCCACAGCTGGTCCAAAACACAGAGTGGATGCACTCACCACATGATGGAATTCCTTCTGCTTCATGGCCTTGTGAGTGCCCAAAAGATTTGTGACCATTGTACGCAACTCCATCTCTCAATGCAAATCCTTAGATGCTGGCATGGGCGCG